GTTATTCCTCACCAATTTCATTCAGTTGATAAAGTACAGAGGATATGTATGAGAAATAATTGGTTGTAAATAGCATGGGGAGGAATTAATAAGGGATTACTTCAAACACTTCACCGGAGCAACACTGGACGTTCCAGGACTAGCGATCACCTAGTCACGGGAGCCTTCACTCGTGGACTCCTGCCTGGAATATTGTCCAAAAACTTCCTTGGAAAGATACCAACAACCAGACAAGAACTGAACGAGAGAGTCCAGCTGCGACAAGAAGAAGGCACATTAACTAGAGAAGCATACCTAAAAGCAGCAACTCCCAGAAAGGAAGACCAAGAGACAACCATACTAGTAACCAATCTAAAAGAGGATACAAAAATAGAAGAGGATGCTTCCACATACCATAACAACCATACCAGAAGGATGACAAACAATACAGATGCTCGGACGTACTGTCCATCACCGACAAGCCAAAAGGAACCCAAAAATTCCCAGACAAACTGTCAAATAGGTCCAAATACTGTGAGTTCCACAAAAGGACAAGTCACGACATAATAAGATAGCAAAAAAATACTAGCGATCCGACAATCCAACCAATCAAGGAAGAACAAAAACACATAGGGAAAGGCCCGGAGATACTCTCCATTCAGGCACGGTGCCAAACAAAAATGCCAAAAATAACTATTTCAAAAAACGATAAACACAGAGCTATAATTCTCACCACATGATCACGCCCCTCCGTATTGGGGGTGGGAGAAATGACCCCTAATAATTCAAGCTCAGATAAGAAATACACAATCCACAGAGTATATATCGATGGAGGAAGCATGGAAGACATCATGTTCGAACATTGTTTCAAACGACTACCTCCCCAATGGAGAGAGGGCCTAGAACCATCACCGGGAAGATTAAGTGGTTTTGCAGGACACAATGTCATGTCATTAGGAGCAATCCACCTGCCTTTCACTTGGAAAACGAGAACAACACGAAGAGAAAGACAGTTTTATTACAATTCGTGGTGGTCCTGACAACATCCAAATACTTGGAAGAACAACAATACTTAAGTTCGACACCGTCGCATTAGTTGTCCACAGCTTAATCAAATTCCACACAGAAATAGGGGTGACGGCCGTAAAATCCATCGTAAGGAAGACCATCAAATGCAACCAGGTTATGGCACCCAAAGAAATCACAATAAGGGAAAAGAGGCCAAGAGAAGAAGAACCGAAAGCAGCAGAGTAAATACATGCCAATCACCTAGACCAGAAGGTTAGAATCGGTTCCACACTACCCACACAGATAAGAGAAAAACTACTCAAGCATACATCCTCGGGGAGACCATTTTTCCCTCATTGAGAGGGAACCCAATTGGGGAATGTGCATACATTACATGGATCTCAACAAAGCTTGCCTAAAGGATTACTACCAACTACCCGAGATAGACCAAAAAGTAGAATCGCTAGAAGGCTTCAAATGGAAATATTTCTAGATGCATACAAAGGATACCACCATATATGGATGCGGAAAGAAGACGAATAGAAAACTGCATTCTACATCGATCATGATACCTTTTGTTATCAAAAATGCCTGTTGAACTAAAAAAACACAGGAGCCACATATCAACGATTGGTCGACAGGATTTTCCATAACCAAACTGGAAGACACGTGGAAGTATATGTCGACACCATAATCATCAAAAGCACCAATGATGTGGCTTTACTACGAGGTGTTGAAGAAACTCTCAAGACACTGGAAAAAACACAAATCGAGTTAAACCCAACTAAATGCACATTTGGGGTGGAATGAAGACAATTCCTAGGTTATAACATCACCATAAAGGGAATACAACCCAACCCAGGCAAAATGAAAGACCTCCTAGGAACCAATCCCCCGAGGAATTTAATAGAGATACAAGGGTTGAACAGAAAGATAACAACACTCTGACGTTACATCTCAAAGTCAGCATAGAAAGTCGTGCCACTATTCCAAACATTGAAGAGATGTGTTGACAAAACCAATTTCAGATGGATACAAGAGGCAATACAGGCACTAGAACACCTAAATATTACCCTCCATAAGCTCTCAATGTTAGCTAGCCCAATACCAGGCAAAACATTATCCATATACCTGGCCACCTCCCAAGAGGCCATTAGCACAGTCCTAATAGTAGAACGAGATCGGAAACAACTTCCGATATATTTTGTCAGCAAAGCTATACAAGGACTAGAACTAAAGTATCCAACATTAGAGAAGTTAGTCCTATATCTAGTGCACATTGTTAGAAGATTATAGAGGTATTTCTAAGCTTATAACACTAAAGTACTCACCACCCAATCCATTCGCCGGATCCTGTCTAAGATAGAAAAGTTTGCCCGATTAGCCAAATGGGCAATCGAACTCGGGGAACACAATATCAAATATAGACCAAGGTCGAGCATCAAAGCACATGCCTTAGTGGATTTCCTAGTAGAATTCCCCATAGTAGAAACGACACAACAAAATGTAAGAGAGGAGAAGCTATACAGATATGCCCCAAAAGGAAAAGAAACACACTGGACTCTATACACTGACGGAGCTTCTAGAAAGGAAGGATCAAGAGCAGGCTCGGTGTTAAAAATTCCAACAGGCGAAGAAGTTATGTACGCATTACGTTTCAACTTCCAAACATCCAACAATGAGGTAGAATATGAAGCCTTGCTAGTAGGAATGCGCTTAGCAAAAGATATGGGGGAGGACACAGTAGAAGCATTGAGTGAATCCATGGTAGAAACAAACCAAATCAATGGATTTTATGAAGTATGATATGGAAGAATGTAGAAATATGTGCAAGCAGTAAAACACCAAGCCAAGACCTTCAAACACTTCACCCTTAAACAAATACTAAGATCTAAAAATAAATGGGCAGACGTACTCAAAATATTCCCAGAAGGAAGCATTGACAGCTAAGAAGTCGTTGTAGTAGAAGCAAGCCAACCAAACTGGATGACACCCTACTTTGATTACCTGCTGAGTGACATCCTCACAGAAGACAAAATAGAAGCATGAAATACAAAATAAAATCGCCTCAATACTCCATCCGTGGTGGAATACCATATAGAAAGAGTTACTTAGCCCCATGGCTAAAATGTGTGACACAACCAGAAGGCATGTCCATACTGGAAGAAATGCATGCAGGAGACACGGGCACGCACGAAGGAGCCAGAGTATTATCTAGAAAGATATTTTGTCTTGGAGTCTACTGGCCCGACATTAATAAAGATTCAGCAGAAATCACAAGACGATGCAAAGAATGCCAAACATTTGCACCGATACAAAGCCTACCAACAACATCATTGACGAGCCTGTCTAGCCCATGCCCCTTCCATAAATGGGGAATAGACATTGTGGGACTCTTTCTAGAAGCCCCAAGGAATGTCAAGTTTTTAGTCGTGGTTGTTGATTACTTCACAAAGTGGATAGATGCGGAACCAATAGCATCCATAAATGGTCGCGACATGATCAAATTCATGTGGAAGAATATTCTCACCTATTTTAGAACATCGAAGGACGCTCCTCAGCAACAACGATTTACAGTTTTCTGAAAACCCTTTAAGATAATGGTATGAGGAACACAACATACAACAACGGTTCACCTTCGTGGCTCATCCCCAAGCCAACCGGAAAATAAAGGTCTCCAACAGGACCCTAGTAGCCGGGATCAAAAAACGACTAGGCAAGAAAAAAAGGAAATTGTGTAGGCGAAGTACCCATAATATTATAGTCATACAGAACCACGCACGCGTCGGGACCCAAGAAACACCCTTCATTATGACATATAGCACAGAAGCCGTTCTACCGCAAGAATTAATCCTAGAAACCCCACGAGTGGAATTCTTTGACAACGAAAAAAACGACGTGGACCTTTGGGTCAACCTCGACCTAATATAAGAAAAGCGCGACACGGTAGCACTCCACCAGGCAGCATACAAAGCAGATGTTGAAAGATACTACAATAGAGGAGTGAAAGAATGAGCATTCAAAATGGGTGACATGGTGCTCAAAAAGAACGAAGCCAGCCATGGCGAACTGAGAGGTAAACTTCGACCCGCTTGGGAAGGACCCTACAAAGTAGTAGAAGCCCACCAGAAAGGATCATATGTCCTGGAAACATTAGAAGGAAGGCCCATCCCAAGATTGCCTCAACTTATTTTCCAAACGGCCTCGACTTGAATCTGATTGCCTCGACTTATTTTCCAAATGGAAAACAGTTCCAAAGCCCTTGGCTTTAACCTGCCTTACATCTTGAGGTTAATTGCCTTGACCTATTTTTCAAATGAAAAATGGTTCCAAATCCCTTAGCTTTGACTTGCCTTACGTCTTGAGGCCGACTGTCTTGACCTATTTTCCAAACGGCAGATGGTTCCAAAGCCCTTGGCTTTGAACTACCTTACGTCTTTAGGCCGATTGCCTCAACCTATTTTCCAAATGGAAAATGGTTCCAAAGCCCTTGGATTTGACCTGCCATACGTCTTAGTCTGATTGCCTCGACTTATTTTCTAAACGGCAAACGGTTCAAAATCCCTTGGATTTGACCCATATCAAACCTTGAGGTCGACTACCTCAAATTATTTTCCAAATGTCAAACAGTCAAAAGTCCCTAGGCTTCAGCTTACATTATTATCTCGACTCCATTTTCTAGGTAGAAAGTGACTCCAAAGACTAGAAACAAACCACATTAAATTACAACTGGATCAACCAATGCAAAAAAGCTCAATTAAGGGAGAAAGCAAGAACGAGCTAAAAATCAATTTTGAAAAAGCATCAAATAGAGTCAATAATACAAAGATACAACACAAAAGTAATCCAAACAACCCAAACAAAAAAAAAGGAGAGGAAGAAGCCAAATCAAACCATGTTCACAAGGCTAAAATAAGCCTAATATCTAGCATGACTTACAAACCAAAAGAAAAACAAATCAAGTCAAGAAAAGCTAGCACCACCGCATGACTCCACCATTTTCTTCATTTCCCTCACATCCAGTTCCTCAAATCCCAAAACCGATATGTAATAAGAGAAGCGAAAGCATCTAACGCTTCCTCCATAATCTTTGCATGATTCACACCATCATCCACTGCCAACTCCAAGGCACTACCAACTAACTTCTTCGCCTCCTCTATGCCTAATGCCCTACCAGCAACTACACACGCCTCACGAAACTTGTTCACCCCATAGCCTAATTTTGGACTCTCTAAGACATGGTCAACAACCCAAGCCAACCCCTCTTTCATCACCCATGGAAGATCACGATCAAAACCTCCCAATAACATAGACTTCTCTTCCACCACTTGATCCTTTTCCACCAAATTCCTCACAAAACTTTCCAGTTGGATTCTCAAACCTTCATTTTCTTTCTTCAACTGACCAATCGCAGCACCCAGGGCAAGCTTATCACGCTCCAACCTCATCACACTATCCTCAAGCATTTTCTTCTCCGCAACTACAACACCAAGCTGCAACACATATTTTTCACAGTCGGACACGTTGTTCTACAAAATTGTATTCTCCGAGCGGAGCAGTTGCATTTCCCTAACAATGCGGGAAAGATAGTCATCCATAGCCAGGAACTGCTCGAGGTGGTTAGCTCCCTCAGCAAAAAAGCTCACACTCTATGCTATAGAAAAACGAAATGACCCAAAAAGGTCAAAAAGGGAATAATTAGCCGTTTCGGATCGAGTACCAGGTGGAAATGCATTTTTGGCAAAATCAATTGCAGACTCAAACAAGGAAAGGTGTGAGTCGTCCTTCAAAGACCAAGCAAAGGAAAATGCTACACCACTTGAATCCCTAACTTCACTAGCACCGACCAATGGATTCTTACCATGCCCAAAATGCAAAAGACAAGGCGCTTTCCCCACGTCACTCTTCTCAACTCTAACATCCAAATGCTCTGATGCTCGCAAAATAACCGTCTTAGGGCCAACAACATTTTCTTCAACAAAAACCTTCTCTACATTCCCATCATCAAGAATATCAATCACTTCATTTTGAACAAGGGCAACATTCAAGCTTGCTTCAGCCAATTTTTGAGCACGTAAACATTGTAAAAGTACCAGACCATCAACGCTTTGCTCACTAACACTTTGCCAGGATGTCTTACGTTTGTTCGCCATATGAAGCACCCTCCTTACTATCAGCCACAAACTCCTCCTCACTCAACCAATTTCCATATGACTCAATGCCAACATCCACACTCACATGATCAATAGATTCTGATCGAGAAGGCTCTTCAGCAGCACGACAACGCTCAACATCCTGGATAGCAGAAGCACATGCAATAAAAGCTTCATTGCGAAATGGGAACGAGGGCAACACCCTATCAAAAAGATCTACTTCATGGAAACGGGGACTACCCACCCACTTCTTAGCCAATACGTCCATGAAATCAACCCTTTTTTCGACACCTGGACAATCAAAAATATGTAACTCCTCTTTCTTTTTCTTTTTTTAAGGGGGGGGGGGGCAGGAAGAAAAGAACAATATACAAGAAGAATAAATGATGAGCAATAGGTATGAAAAGTAGAGAAAACCTTGGGAAACAACATAAAATTCTAGTATTTTCCTGCGAAACCTTTACGAGGTACTCATTCCAGCATTAGCAAGCACATACACTGGAAACTCACCACCAACGACGTGAAACCAGTGAAGAATCCGGGCCATCTGCTCCTTATCCGAGTACAAGGTAAAAGACTGATTGGAAATAGAGGTTGAAGATGCTCCATAGGAGCCACGTGATCAACATTGAGCCAATAATACCGACCTGCCTAGTTCTTGGGGGAATTCTTTTGCTCAGTCACCAAGACATGACTACGTTTTCGAATGACGAAAGTATAGCTATCGCCAGACAAAGCATAAGCAAAACGAAAAAAATGTCGAATAAACCCAGATATCGAGGTTAATCCCATTAGCCCGACATAGCATCTCAAAAGTTACCACCTTGTTCACACCATTGGGAACCAACTGATTAATGTGAACCTTGTAATGACGGAGAACGTCTCGGAAGAAGTCAGATGTCGAAAGTCGATACCCAGCATCAAAATGCTTCACATAAATAGGAACTTTACCCTACGATAGATTAATAAAACTAGCATGTTCACCAGGAAAATTTAACCCATCCTCCGGATGAAAGTCATGCTTAGGAAAAGTTAACCCATCCTCCGGATGAAAGTCATGCTTATCCTGAAGCACGTGAAACTTGTCGGAGGTCGGAGCGACACTGATCGGAGAATTCATAGCAAAGAACAAGATAAACAACAGACGAATACAAAGCGAAAGAAGGAGGTGACGAAAACTCAAAGGGGGTAGAAATTAGGAAATATAAAGGAACAGGAAAACTGAAAACTCTAATGATGACAACTGATTTCACAGCTAGAAACCACTGCAACGTGCACCTGAAAAGACAACGACCAAGAACAGTGGGACATGTCACCTAAAGCTAGTCCTATCCATTGCAGCTAAGCATGCCTACATCGCTACGCATAAGACTAGGGAGACTTGATAGCATACCCCAAGGCATGCCAGAAATATTAAATGGATAAGTTGCATAGCCAAAATCGATTGCCTTCCCTGCTAGGTAGCACTCCCTCCATCCTAGATTGTGTCGTCCCTTGATGACCGAAATCCAGCCTGCAACATGCGCGAGAAAGACAACAGATGACAAACCATCACCTGCTAACTCTAATATAGGTTCACGAACCACTACTATGGTTAATCTAATCACTGCCCTGGTAAGGGACAAAGGTACGATTCACCAATCAGCGCCTCTGTCCCAATCGGGGTCTGACATTATTGTCCCCACGAGCGGGATTCATGCCCAGATCCTCACTATAAAAGGCCTAACATGCTCAATGGTAAAGAGATCGAAAACCTTAACTCTCTAATACCCTCACACTTCACTTATATTTTTCCTCCACTGGAGACTGACTTGACCGTCTAAGCGCTCTCCTGGGGCCTCCTCTCGGAGACCGGTTGATGGCTTGTTTATCTGTTGTGATTGTAGACTTCCATTTGAGAGCCTCCATTCACGTCCTTAAAGACTACCAGGAGGTCCAATATCACATCAATATATATATATATATATATATATATATATATATATATATATATATATATATGTATATATGTCTGGTCTTGTATTAATAGATATGTTCATGGGTGTTCTCTGTAATTATGTATAGTATATATACAACTCATTGTAATATATTCCAAATTAATGAGCTACATAAATATGCATGCTATCATAGTTGATTATGATCAACTCCTAACCCTACCCCTCTAAAATCGCCGATTGCGATCAGCACCCACATCCACCCTAATCGATCACCACCATAGCTTCCTCATCTCTTCCATCTGCCACTCTCCATTATTCTCGATGCAAAACAAAGATGATAGGTGCAGTAGGTTCCGATAAAGATCGTCCTCTTCATCCCATGTATACTGTAATGAACACTCAAAATAAGGTTTGTGTTCTTGATGGCATGAAAGTTAGGTATTCTTCTTGGGTTAAATTATTTAAACTACATGCAAAGGGGTACAAAGTTTTAAACCACGTTGATGAAACGCCTCCTCCTGCTTTAATAGAACCTACGTACGTGTCCTGGGTTGAGATCAATTCCATTGTTCTCCAATTGATTTATGGTACACTCTTTGATGATCTTTTAGTTCGAGTTCTAGACAATGATCTTACTGCTAGGGATCAGTAGCGGAGGCAGCCACTTTAAGTGGGGTGCATGGCCCCACTTGGAGGTGGGTCCCACCATATTTAGTACTATAAAGCCCTCAAAAAAATCTGATTTTTACTAAAAAACCTCTCTTTGGCCCCCACTTTTACATCAAATACACTATTGATAAAAAAAATTCATAAAATAACCCAATTTTTTAAAAAATTTCACAATTTTATACTTGTATGTATTTTTTTATCAATAATGGACCCCAATTAGATTTCGTTCTGGATTCGCCACTGCTAGGGATGCATGGGTTAAAATACAATCCATATTCTGGAATAATAAAAGCTCACTTGTTGCTGCCCTTGAACATGAATTCATAAACCTTACACTTGATGCGTGTTCATCCATGCATAAATACTTTCAAAAACTAAAGGACCTAACAAGCTAATTAAAAGATGTCGGATATCCAGTTAATGAAGCACGACTGGTCATACATCTTGTCCGCAGATTACCCACAGAATATGACACTATGTCTATTATCAATTATGGCTCATTCTTATGTGATGATGCTCGAGGCATGATTGAGTTATAAAAATAATGACAATCCGCCCGTCAACAAGCCACTCGATCGGTCCATGTCACGCCACAAAGCAATACTGTATCCAGTGAAATCCCTCCATTACATTCATCACCACCGGCTAACACCGCTCCTTAATTCTATGATCCAAACTACTCAACCTCCCAAAATCGTGGTGGTGAGAGGGGTCAGGGTCATGACATAAATCGAGGTCATGGAAATATTGGACACAGAGGAGGGGGCAATATCAAAACTACTTCTCACCATCACCGTGGGTTTGGTACACCACCATGTCCATACCCACCCAACTGTGGCTTCCTTCACCCCCTTGGGTGCCCAACCAAAATTTTCTCCATACCAGCAGTCTCAACTAACGACCAACATTGTCCAGTTTTCCACACCAAACTCATCTGTGTGATCCCCACTATGATGCACAAAACTTTAATAACATTGGGGAAGCCTTGCAGAATATGCAACTTATGCATCCATATCCAAATCGATACATGGATACAAGTGCTACCACCCATGTTACTTTAAATCCAGGTACTGTTCCTTCCCCTTTATTATCATCCCATAATGGTCATATATTTCTTGGTAATGGCAATACGTTGCCTACATTTGGATCTGGTAACATCCTACACTCCATATCAAACCACACCTGCCCACTCAAAAACACACTCCTTGCACCCGACATCATTAAAAACCTTATTTTTGTTTGTAAATTTTCATGTGATAATAACGTTTATGTTGAATTTGAGCTTATGATTTTTCTTTGAAGGACCTCTCGACTGGAAAGCACCTTTCCCGCTATTATAGTACCGAAGATTTATATCCATTCATTGTTCCTACTGTCACTCCTATAGCTTGCCTCAACACTTCTCACAAGTGGCATATAAGACTTGGACATCCCGTCCAACAAGTTTTAGATTTACTTTCTAGTCGTAGATTTATTTCATGTAGTACAGACAAACATTCTCATATTTGCCACTCTTGTCAACTTTCCAATAGTAAACGTTTACCTTTTTCAAAGTCTCATTCGTGTACTTTTTCATCTTTTGATATTATTCATTATGATCTATGGACCTCCCTAATCCCAAGAAAATCAGGCTACAAATATTATCTTGTGCTTATTGATAAATTTACAAACTATGCTTGGGTTTACCCATTAAGTTTTAAATCTGAAACATTCCCCACCTTTGCCAAATTCCATACTCTTATCAAAACCCAATTCAACAAAACCATCAAAAGTTTTCAGTGTGATTTGCAGGGTGAATTTGATAACATCGATTTTAAAACCTTTGCTCACAACAATGACCTTAGCTTCCGGTTTTCTTTCCCCCAAACTTCCCAACAAAATGGTAAAGTCGAAAGCATGATCCGTCGGTTAAATTGTGACAACCTAAAAAATTTTATTAGATAAAGTCAATTCAATCAACCAAAAGTCAAACTAAATTCTATTGCCTTTTATTCTTGTTAAGGGTCATTCTGATGAGTTCTAAGCCTAGTACACTTATGGAATAGAAGTTGAAAAGTGTTAGCTTAGTATTGGAGGAATGAAATCGAGCCAGAAAACCCAACACATGGGGTTTACGGCCGTAAACTCTATGTACGTCCGTAAACACCCTCCTAGCCATGAACCCCTTCTATATGAAGGAATTTTTGCCACTTTTCTTCACTTCTTCTTCTCTTGGCCGCAAACCCTCCATACTCTCTCAACTATCATCAAGAACATTCCTTCTAGCCTTTAAAAAGTGGTAAGTAATCCACCCAACTTTCTTGATATCCTTTTTTGTTTTATAAACATCTTGTGATTCATCCATGAAAACAACTCTTTTTGTCTAGATCATCAAAATCAACAACTTTCACCAAGAACACACACTAGTTTTTGGTGGCCGTGAACTCCCTAAGGACCCTCAAAAGTTTGAGTATTCCCTCTATCATCTAGTTAGACATGTTAAACACTAGATCATAGCCTTAAAATATCATCAAACTCATGAACATCAAGAGTGTACGGCTATACACTCTATTTATGGTTGTATACCCTTGTTTGGATCATAACCTAAGGCCTTAAACACTTACTGGGTGCTTGCTATCCATTAGAATTCTTGAACCCTCGAATCAAGACCCAAAATGCCTCCATTTGGAGTGTGTACGACCGTACACACTTGGTGTGGCCGTACACACCTCAAGTCTCTCCAAAATGAGAATCTTGTTCGCCTTCTTATTGTATACTTGTCACAATAGTTTCCATATGGATCAAACACACCATTTTTATGATTTTCTATGAGTTTACGGCCGTACACTCCCATGGTGTGGCTATAAACTCTAGTGTGGTTGTAAACACACTTCCCTTGGCCGTACACTCCCCTTTGATCAATCACATGTGTAACGTCCCGATTCCAGGTATGAATTTAATTAAAGAATAATTGGTCTTATGTCCTACTTGGCGAGTCGGTTTCCCTACTCGCCGAGTAGCAGT